CAGGACCCACTGTGCAGACTGCTGCGGGGGGCCGCCGTGGCACTGGTGAGGGGGGGGCCGTGCCGGGAGCACCGGGACTCACCCCCCTGCCAGCCCGGAGCGCAGCCATCTCCCCGCTGCCAGCAAGGAGCAGCTTTCTCAGCAGGACCCGAGTCACGCAAACATCCGCTTAGGAAAACCTTTATTAGTGCTAGGAACCGTCTAAAATCCAGTCATTGAAACAAGCAGGGTGGGACATGACCATGATGAACGGCGCACACACACACCAGTTTGCCCTTAAAAAAGGTTAACAGAAAAAAAAAAAAAAAACCAAAACAAAACCCAAAACCCAACCCAAACCCAAAAGGGACCTCTCTTCCCCACCAGCCTGGGAGGGGATGGGGACGAGGAGCTCAGGGTGGGGAGAAGGTGCAGCTCTGAGGTGCGCGGCATCGCTCCTGGGGATCACCCGTGCACAGGGAGAAGCGTCGGGTCTCCCCGCTCTGCCCAGCCCCAGCCTCCGGCAGCGCCTCTCACCGCGTCGCCCGCAACAGGGGTGACTGGAGGGAGGGACAGGGTTATCTGTGGCCTGGGAAGGAGGGAGGAAAGTGCGCGGTTTCCCCGTTCTGCTTCAGTTCTCTCCCTCGAGAGGAGAGGTCTGAAAGAAAACGCTGAAAGCTCAGTAAAACATGACACTTAAAACACCCACAGCGTCAACTCGAGAGCGCCCGGCCCTGCGCCGCCGGCACCCGGACAGACACTCGCCTATGCCTAAAACAGAGGGTGGGGACAAAGACAAGATGCTCAACGTGACCCCAACAAGCACCAAGGAGCCACTTCGCTGCTTACGGACCCGTCCACATGTCAGCGCAAGAGGGGACCAGTGAGGGAGGGTGGCACCGGCCTTCCCGTGTCACCAGGGGGGTCTGGGGGAGGGAGGTGACAGCAATGACTTTATCTGCACTTGGGGCGAGCTTTCTTCCAACGCTCTCATCAGCAGCTGTGGGGAAGGAAGCCAGAGCTGCTGCGGTGACGCAGCCCAGGCGAGAGGAGAAGCAAAGGGAACAGCCCAGCCAGGGAGGGAACCGCGGCGCGAGACCTTGGGGAGGGACGGCAGCCCCCACGCACGGCCCTGGGTGGGACGGTGGGTGCGAGCGTGGGCACTCGGCCTCTCGCCAGCACCCTCCGCGTGCTCAAACCGCGGAAGAGCTGCAGGGAATGATCCCGCAGCCCTCAAACAGCGTCACACAGTGACCTAAGGGACACCGGAAAACGAGATCTGCCCTCAGTACCCCACTGCCATAAATCCCTCGTGCCGGCGGGAGCTCACAGCTCCCCTCCGAGGTCCTCCGCTCCCCTCCGCTACGAGGGACACAGCCTACCTTCTGCCTGCCCCCCACACTCGCTGCTAAAGACCTTTCCCAGGCCGTGCGCGATTCCTACACGAATTAAACCACAAATCAGCCTTTGCCCTTGGGGTCAGTGCTCCCCTCCGGCAGCTCCGACCCACAGCCCTGCACGCGTCGGCAGAGCTGTCCCCCCCGTGCCCGCTTGGGCGCAGCGGAGCTGGGAGGAACGGCACTGCAGAAGCGAGCAGGGGGAGGCACACCACGCCGTGCCACGCGGGCACCGGTTTTAGGGTTCTCGGGGACAGGGGAACAGCTGGCGGGGGGCACAGCCGGGCGGCTCCCGAGGCTGGGCAAAGGGTTGGCTGCCGTTCCCCAGCTCGGCGCCGCACCCGGAGCTCGGTCGCTCCAGGCCTGGCACAAAGCCCACTTGATATTTTTATCCCCGGCATCCGTGTTGTTTGAAGTTATCTGCCTTTTTTTTTTTTTTTTTTCCCCCCCCGCAGCCCTCCCCTGTCCCACCCTGGCTTAGAGGTGACAGCAATAGCAACGCACCCTCTGCTGCTACGACCTGAGCCCAGAAGGCATGGCCTGCCCTAAGGTGGCCCCGGGCACGGGGTCCCGGCAGCTCCGACACAGCCTGGGGGACGGTAACAACCCCCCCAGGACACCGGGCAGCGCCGGGGGACCCAGGCCACGCTCCCCAGACCCCCTGTTCCGGGAATAGCTGTACCGGCCACCGCTGCCCCCCCCTCGCAGGCCTGCTGCCCTGGCAGGAATGTCTGAGGGGCTCAGGGAAGGGCAGTTCCAGTAAATCAAATAGTTTTTTAAGCTCTGGGATCTCCCCATCTTTATTCCACAGCCGCCAGCTGCCCAAAGACAGGGAGAGCACGACTCCCACCGCGGCTTCTCAGGCCACTTGCTTTGTGCCCCGGAGCAGACTTAACTGTCCAGAGGATGAAACAAGGCAAGCCTGGTGGAAAGTCTAATTTCTTAAAAAGAAGGGATTTTAAAACAATGACTCAAGTTTGCTAACTCCTCTCACCCTCCTCCCCAGCTATAAATGAGGCCGAAACTCACCCTCGTGCAGAAATCAGGTTCAAAGTTCAGCCAATTTGTGTGGGGTACCGACAGCCCCATCCCCCTCGGGGGTGGGGGGGTGTGACAAAAGCAATTCAAGTCCCTTTGCAGAGCTGTCACCGCAGAGCCCTGGACCAGGGTTAAACCCGGCTCCTGAAGCCCAGGGTGAGCTCGGAGCAGGATCCTGGAGGAACAGCTCCAGGCAGGGACTGGCCCAGGATGCGTTTGGTGACAGAAGTACCGGGTATTGCTTGGCCTGAGAGGACTGGTGCGTAGACGAAGGAGCTGGCTTGACTCAAAACGGACCGGAGCAGTTTCTCAGCAGGCCGAAGGCAGCGAGTTGCTCTCCACCTTCAGTCCTTTGCTGGCCAGGAAGGCGTCCTGCTTGGGGTCGCGGCCCAGGAACTTCCTCAACATGTCGGAAGCATCCACGGAACCGCCAGGATGCAGGATGCAATTCCTGTAATCCATGCCCACCTGCGAGGAGAGAAAGAGACGGGGGTACGCGTAGGACACCCGCTCTCCCACTGACGCTGCCGTCGCCTACCACCTCTGGCAGGGGACGCAGCCCCTGCCGCACGCCCAGAGCGCGGTGGCGCAGGACGTCCTCCCTACCTTACAGTTCATGATTCCCTCCTGCTTGAACCGCGTGTGGAACATATCCATGGAGTACACTTCGCTCCAGAGGTAGCCGTAGTACTGGGCATCGTAGCCTCCAGCCAAGTGGCCAAACGTAGCGGGCATGTTGGTACCTTTGCGGCAAAGGAAGAGAAGGGGCGTTAACAGGAAAGGCTGCTGGAACCGCTCACAGCCCAGAAAAACCCCTCCGTGCTGTAAATATGTCAGAGCAGGCACCGGGTCAGCTTGTTCACAATCCCAGGGGAAACAGGGAAGAACTTTCCAGTTATTTTTGTATGGCTTCAGCCCTGCTTTTCCTGGAGCCAGCAGAAACTGTCCCCATCGAGCCAGCCCGAAGCCCCAGCCTTCAAAAGAACCTGCTGAGCCAAGCTTGCCGGCCAGGCCCAGAGAGATGGCGAGAGCGGCAGCCCCAAGCCCCTGGGTACCTGGGGTGGCAGGGACGCCCAGCACCTCTTCACACAGCCGGGCAAACACCTCCACGGGGTCGGCCTTCGTCTGGGTGTGCAGCGCCTGGTCCACCTTAGCCAGGACGATCTGACGCAAGTTGAAGAGCCCTGTTCCCAGAAGGAGGAGGCAAACTGAGCCCCTGTCTGCAGGCAGGAGCGTCTCCGAGGCCGGGGGGGCTCCCATAGTTCTCCCCACACCCACGTTCTGACCTGCTTCCCCAACCCGACCAGTTCAGCAGCCCCCACTCAGGCCAAAGCCTCGTTCCCTGCCTGCAGATAATCTCTGCCTTCCCCAGCACCTCTTCTCGCCCTGCCACCACCCAGCCCACTGCACCTCCTGCCACACCACCCTTGCTCTTCCCAGATGAACAGCAAGCAGACGTGGTTCCTTCCCCCCAGTCCCCTCGGTCCCCGCAGCCCCACGGGGAGCAAGGCAAAGCCTTTCCTCTACCACTAAGGGGACACCACGGCGAGACTCTGCTCTTGCTGGGGAGAGTACACAGCGCTCGCTCCCCTCCAGCTCCTCTTCCCTGGCTCCCACTTCCCTCTGCAGGGACCCACCTGTGTTTGCCTGCCGGGATTTAATGAGCTTCTCCAACAGCTCATCAGGAATGGGGCTTCCAGTTTTATAGTGCCTGGACATGCGCAGCAGCGGCTCCTTCTCCCACACCCAGTTCTCCAGCATCTGCGACGGTGCCTCGACAAAGTCCCGCTCCACGTGTGTCCCACTGAACATGGCAAACTCCGCCTAGAAGACACAGCCAGCTCAGAGCGGGGCATCATTTAACCCCACAGAGGAGCACGACAGGGGAAAGGTAACCCTCTGCCAGCCCAGCCAGGCCTCACCTGAGAGCACAGCTGGTGCATAACATGCCCAAATTCGTGGAAGTAGGTTTCCACCTCATCGTGCTGCAGCAGGGAAGGTGCATCCGGCGTGGGCTTGGTGAAATTGGCCACCATGGCAGCCACCGAGATCTGCCGGCTGGAGTCTGGCAAAAGGCAGCCTGGCTGCAGGCCAAAGCAGGCTGCGTGCCCGTATTTCCCTTCCCTGGGCCAGGAAGAGGAGACCGTTATACAGATCCTCCCCCACGACCAGCCGTGAGCCACCGCGGCCCCGCTCAGAGCAGAAGCCCCTGGTGACCCCATCCTCCTGGGACAGCCCTGCCCGAGTACCCACTGCTCCCTCTGCACAGTCACACGTCTGGGAGAGGGACAGCCTCTCCCCTTCCCCAAATGCAGGGCAGGGTCTGCCCCAGCCCTCCTCCCTTGCTTCACCTTGCCCAAGGCCTCACCGTGGGTACAGGTCCAGGTAGAATTTGCCGATGGTCTCCCCGGAGGAGATGTCCTTCACTGTGTAGAGCTGGACGTCCTCGTGCCAGACCTGAGCCTTCTCTTCCAGATGGAAGGTGAGCCCCAGCAGCTCCTGGTAGATGGCCAGCAGGCCTGTGGTGACCACCTGCATGGGGAAGTACTCCTTCAGCAGATTCTGGTCCACGCTGTACTTAGTCTCCTCCACCTGGTTCATGTAATAGCGCATGTCCCAGGCATTGATGCGGTTGTCAAACTCCAGGCCACGCTTCTCGCACTCTTTCTTTTTCAGGTCCAGGATCACAGCCCGTTCCTTCTCCCCGAGCGGTTTCAGCTTCTCAGCCAGCTCATCTAGGAAAACCAAGGCAAGCAGGGTGAGTGCCCGGGGCACACCCAGCCCAGCACGCCCCTGCTGTTCCCCTCCGCAGCCACGTGCCGTACCCAGGAAGGTAGCCACTGTCTTGCTGCTTTTAGCCATGTTCATCTCCAGCACAAAGTCCGCGTGCGTGTTGAAGCCCAGCAGACTGGCTTTCTGAGCCCGCAAGTCCACCAGCTCTTTGAGGATCAAGCAATTCTCCTGCCAGGCAGTCAGACAAAGAGTGAAGTGGGGTACACAGGCGAGAAAGAAAGCACGAGCCCCAGAGTAGAAAGAAGCAAAAATCTCAGACGAGATCCCTTCAGTGCCTGGACCTGACCTGGCATCCCGTCTGGCCATGCTGGCAAGCAGCAAGGCCCACCTACCTCTTTGCACCTGGAGTTGAACATTTCCTCCACCTTCCTCCTCGTCTCAGGCACATAGCACTTCTTCAGGAGAGGGAAATAATGCGGGTATTTCAAGGTGACTTTCAGCTTGCCATCCTCCGTCTTCTCCAGGGAGTTCAGGAAGTCCTCAGGGAGCCCCCCTGGGAAAAAGAGCAGAGGGGACTGATGGAGAGCCCACGTGTCTCCACAAATACCAGCTCTGGGACTGAGCACAGGAACCGGCTCTTGCTCCTTGGCCAGAGGAATTCAGGCACTCAGGGCCACACCAGCAGAGAAATAAGCCCGAGTGCTCCATACCTAGTTCCTCCTTCGAGAAGGGCAAGTAGGTGGTGTCTTCGTTGAGATTCTTGTTGAAGTCTATGCAAAGGACGCTCAGCTTTTTCTTAATAGCTTTGATTTTCTTTAAAATACAGATGAACAGAGAAAAGTCAGTCCAAAGGGGGAAGTCAAACAGCACCGTTCAACGTCTCCAGCCAGCAGCCTGCCTGCTGAGCTGCCCAGCAGTCTGCACTTGGCTTTTATTCAAACGCAACGCAGCAGAATTAATTGCATGCAGGCGCTAAGCGCTCAGCCTGGAACAGGCTCCCTTTGATCACACCTGGTAGGAAAGCAGCCACCTCAGCAAGGTCCCAACCGCCTCCTGCCGGCTCAGGAGCTGCAGGTGTTCAAGCAACAACCTCCTCTACCCTTATTTTCATTTCGCCTTCTCTTCTATTTTTAACCCAGCTTCCAGCTCCTTCACTGAGCCACTGGCGCATGGTAAGAGAGGAAGACCCCGAGCAGCTCAGCCCCCTCACCCTGACCTCAGCCCCAGGGGTGCACCGTCCCCAACTGTCCCCATATGGGGACCGGGTGCCACCTCCACTCCTGACCTGCACAGTGCCATCTGCAATCACAGCTTGCCCGCTTTGCCCCCCGACTCCCAGCGTCAATCCCATTCCGTAAATGTCATCCCACTCCAACGGAGAGGAAAAAGAGGGACATGGAGACACCACCCAACATGCCCAAGGTCACATGAATCAGGGGGAAAAAATCAGAAGTCTGGGCCTCAGTCCTCTGCTCTAATGCTCTAATGTCCCGTTAGCCCTGCAAGCCTCCTCTACGTGTGCTTACTTTAAGCTCTGTGATCTCACCTCCTGCGTTTCCTCAGGGAGATGGAGACCGTTTCTTTTACCCAATTTGATCAGCCTCTCTAGATATCTCTTTGCTTCAGGCTTCAGTGAAGCACTCTCTGCTTTCTCCTGTAAAACAAAACCCATGAGCACAGGGAACTGCAGGATCGGGTGTTGCAGAAAGTTGGTTCCTGGGAGGAGTTATGGGTTATTGTAACACCAGTGACCCAGAAACAGATGGAAACACCCCACAAGAAGGCTTTGGTTTGGTGCATTAGTTCCTACCAGATTGCTTTAAACACATCACCTTTATGCCGTATTACAGCACTTTTCAGGCCATTACTCAGCCCCCTTCCCGGCGTGAGGCAGGCGGGGTTTACTAACGCCATCTTAACAAAGGGGTAATTGAGGCCCTGAGGGGGCACAGAGCCCTCAACCCCAGTTCTCACTAACAGCTGGACCGTTCCGCCATGATCACACAGCGATTCAGTTCCAGACCTGACTCGAAGTTCTGGGACAAGGGAAAATGTTTGGTAGTAATTCTAGGAAGTTTCAGTGCCCTGCTTGGGTGCATCACTGACAGTGCATCCTCCCCAGCACACACCTGGAGCCAGACAATCCTCTGGTACACATCCTGCCTCATGCTCATCTCCACGTCGAACTCCGAGAGCTTCTTGTCAGCCTCGGTGCTCGCTGCACGGATGTCTTTGCAAGGAGAGACATGCTGGGGGAAGTCCAGCATGTTCCGATGCACTGGAAAGACAGAAAAGGGATTACAGCGAAGGCAATGGCTTCATGTCCCAGAACTGCTTGTTGAGTGGGAGTGCACACAGAGAGCCTGTGTTAACTGGGAGCCAGTTTGACGGCCCTGGTGGCTGACCTGCCCGCCCACACAAAGGAAGCTGCCCTCAGACAAACCCAGAGCTGTCTTCTCGGAGCAGCACTCAGTCACTCGCAGCGCCTGTTCACCCCTTCCTCACTGCTGAGCACATCTGTCCACTGATTTCCCACTACAATCCACCTTTCTCACAAGACTCACGCGAATTTCGTGCCTGTGAGATCCCAAGGCCTTTGCCCCAGCTGTGACTGTTGAAACCAGCTTCAAGAATCACAGCACTTCTATACGGGCAGCATCACTGCGTGACTCCTTTCCTTAGAGGGCCAAGCTAAAAGTGACACACCTTTACTGCAGATGCTCCTCAAAAGCCACCATGTCCCAGGTGTACTCCGTCCTGACGTATTTCCATTTTAGAAGTGAAACAGGGAAAACTTTCCCTGCCACTGTTTCTGCAAAACTTCAAATAATACAACTCCAGAGGGAAGGCGCTGCCCTCCAGGCACGAGAACTCTCCACCCAGCAGAAGGTAAGCAGGCAGCTACTCTCTGTTGCCCAGGGAAAGTGCTGACGGTTCTGCTGAAGTTAACATTACTCCTGCTTAGTAAGGGCTTTTCCTCTTATTTTAGGAAAAAGAAACCAGACAGAAGAAAGAAGAGGCTTGCAGGCTGGCTTCTGCTTCATACAGACCTGACACCTTGCCACACCAGTAGTCAGGACAGGTAACAGATGCCAGGAGGGGGGCTGTGGGACTTTGGCACTCTACTGCTGTAAATAATTAGCCAAAGATACGTCGAAGCCTACATCATTTGCCCACACAATGCCATCATGTCACGTCACTTTACATATAATCCCTAAAACAACAGCAGCGTTGAAACAAGACACACGGAGAGACATTTATCCGCTGCCTTAGGGGAGAAGGCAGAGAAGAGTTGAAGATTTCTTAGATCATCCAAACCATTTCTGTCAATGCACAATTTGTACCCACTAATGCACCTTGACACATAAAAGCTGCAGACAACCTTGAAAACCTGCCTACTCCCGCAGACCATCCTGCTGCCAAAGTGGTGGCGCCGCCGAAGCGCCGTCCTCGTTTTAGACTCACTCTTCCGTTCCAAATCTACTCTACTCTTTGTACTTATATCTAGCTGTATAAACATTAACTGGAAAAAAACCCACCATACTGCTGAGGGAGCCAAGGAGATGACAGTACAGAGCAAAATAAAAAAAAACACCAACAAAATCTTAATAACACCACACTGATTTCCAGAAAGCCAGTACTCCCTCTCAATGTACGTACCCGTATATTCCACTTCCACATCTGCCAGTGCCTTGAGAGTGTTTTCATAGGACACCTCGCCCTGCTCCTGGGAGCCCACCCGGTCGTACACCAGCTTGGTCCTCTCTGTGAGCTCTGCAGCCATGTTTTCTATCTGTTCGGCAGTCAGGTCCCATCTTAGCTGATTTGCCAACAGCCTGGGGGACTGGCTGTCCACAACGTTTCCTGGGGACGTGGGGAGGAAAAGGTCTGTGAGACAGTCCCATACGGGCTGGAAAGAAAATTCAGCCGCATAGCTAAAGCTCGATAACAGCACTTAAAGGAGAGGCCCAGCAAACAAACCACGCTGATGGGCAACCGGGCTCGGAAGGCACCAGGGCGCTGGCGGTAATCAGCAGCCGGATGATTTTCCGGGCACTGTTTACCCTCTCAGTCATGACAAACCCTTCACAGAAACCTGACTCCCTCCTCCTCTCTCCCCGCCATTCCTCTGCCCACGGGAGGGGGGTCGGGGGGGTCGTCCCCTGCCCGGGGCGGGAGCTGTGGGGCACAGAGGTGACAGGAGGACAGCAGTAGACCACGGCCCCCCTACACAGCCCCTGGAGGGCTCCCCCGGCTCCCTCCTCCTGCCCCCAGCCCTTTCCCCCCATCTCCCCCTTGCCACGCCACCCCCT